GGAATAGCATGAAATAGACTTGGTTTAACTATGTTAAAAGAGAGCGAAATAGCGTGAATTAGACTTGGTTTAAGTATGTTAAAGAGAGCAGAATAGCGCGAATTAGACTTGGTTTAAGTATGTTAGAGAGAGCAGAGTAGCGTGAATTAGACTTAGTTTAAGTATGTTAAAGAGAGCGGAATAGCGTGAATTAGACTAGGATAAAGTATGCAAAATGAAGCTGAGGACTTTGTGAAAAAATGCGAAGTTGTTTGCTGTTCTAATTGTATGGGTTTGGAGATGTTTTTGGCTTGGATTAATAACAGGCAGGAAGCGCGAGGAAACGCAGCGAATATGGACGCGTACGCGGAAGGTGACGGCGGAGGAAGCGCGGATATGGAGGTGAAAATGGTGAAGGTGATGGCGCGAGGAAGGTGACGGCGCATGGGTGTGAATATGGAGGTGATGAAAGGTGACGGGAGGAAACGCATGATGTATATGACAAGTTAGTGTCGTACTTAAGCGGAGCGCGCGCTGTGCATGTATGAAGGTGTCGAAGGTGTTCATATTGCCTAAGACGCGTACGTGCACATGTCATGTCGCATAGGAAGCGTAGGTATGGTTGTGCAAGTCGTAAATGGCCACTTTGGTGGTTTAACATTGTTTCCAGGCCGCGTATGCGCAAATATGGGGTGCGGCGGCTATCTGCACTGCTGTGTATGAAGGTGTCGGTCTGTGTGGGGTTCCTATCGGAGAGAATACGTATGCTGCGTTGTAGGAGTGAGCTGCTGGCCACACGTTTGTATTGGAGTGCGCCACACCACCCCCCTTTTTGTTTTGTTACTATATAAAGTGTAGCCATCCACCCAGCCAATTCTGAGGGCCAGAAGGGGTATTGGGGGCCATCGTGTGCAGTCTATGGCCACGTATGTGGACATGTGAGTGTGTAAATGTGTTGTACCAATGTATACGAGTGATAAACACTAATAGGCGTGTCGGTCAAAGTCAAATGTAGACGGCCATCTTAGGCTGAAAGCACCATATCCCGTCTGCTCTGTGAAGTTAAGCAGCCTCAAGCTCGGGTAGTACTCGGGTGGGTGACCACCGGGGAAGTCCGGGTGCTGTCTACTTTTTAGCCCGTTTTGAGCTGTTTACCGACTTTGCGTGTGTTTGCAAACGCAAGATATGATGTCTGGCATGTGCCCACACGACATCTTGGTTTTAGTATGCCTGGCGAGCCACTACACACGAGATCTTGTTTTTTGTATGGTGTTCTTTAATTTGATTATTATGAAGATGAAAGAGAACCGTTAGAACGGGTATGAAGGGTGTTCTAGGGGTGCTTTTCGGTGCTCTTTCACGTGGACATATCGCAGCATGCGACATGTCAGTGGAACACTGTCTAAATTAATAAATACTGTTTTGGGCGATTTCTAAAAGCGGCTATAAAAGGGCATAAGTGCAATGACTCGTCTTTGTAACCCTGCGGCCTAGGCGTAGTTTTTCACGGGGAATCCGAATATCAAAGGTAGATTTATGTACAACATGTACTTTTTTTGCAACATGTACTTTTTATCTACGGGACATAGACATATGTAAAAACACACGGCGGAGCCGTTCCCGCAATCAGAATTTGTCTAACTCTTCTAGATCAAAAGTTATTCAGCGAAATGTGAGACTTTGTTTGGCATGCTCTTTTTTTAGGTGGTTTTTTCCGGTTTTATGTGCCGCCCGGCAGATCTGGCCTGCAGACTTTAGCAGAAAACTTGGCGCATGTGTTCGCACGACCGCTCCCAAAGTTTTACAAGCATATCTCCAGTAGTTGCTTCGCAATGATTTTTTTAGTGACGCCAAAAAACGCCATTTTCGCGGAAAATGGACACCTTGGACGGCCAAAATCACCACTTTTGGCCATGTTTGGCCCTGCACATCCAGGAAGCAAATGAGACTGCTCCGTATAAAAACTGCCCTAGGGGTGCTTTTATGCGCGCATTCTCGTGGTCAAGTCAGATTTTGGCTAAATTTAAATGCCTTGTCTATAAACACTTTTTTCGACCTAAATTTTCACCTGTTTTGTCCCGAAATGATAGCACCCACTCTTCTATATTGTCTGTACAATCCAACCCGTTTTTTGCGAGAGAGAGGGCAACTCTTTTTTCGTTTAGAAAAAGATAAAAAAATTTTATTCGCGCTTTTAGCGCAGCAGGAACAAAGTCTCCATACAGCTACCCTCGGTTTCTAATGACTTTTGAGTTAGGGAAGCGTGGATCTTCTTTTTTTCTGTTTCCAGGACTCACATGAACTTCCAACTCAACTCGAATTGTCATCCCGGGCCCACCACGCATCGAAACGACACTTTTCTCGGAACTGGCGAATAAAAAATAGGTCACCAGATGCGCAAGAGTCTGGGATGACAGAATATCAAAACAATAACAGAATCGTTAGTACTTTTTTTGTCACCAGCGCCCTTTTTCTGTTTTCGCGTACATAATCGAGCATAACTTTATCAATTTATACCATATCGACCGATATCGATTGTCACGATAGTGTACTTTTTTTAGGCGCACATGATGGTAAAAAGAACGGCCACCTATTCCCAGCCGTTCTTAAGTTATGCTCTTTTAAAGATTTTACTTTAGAGATGACACACCCTCTCATTTCACTCCATTACATGCTCTTTTTGCTGAATTACGTGGCACAGACGCAGAAAATCATGGTTCGCAAGTCGAACATTTTTGAAGAGCGCATCGAAACGGACATTTTCTTAAAATAACATGGTATACAAAAAGTGCGTTCTTGAGCCTGTAGCAAACGATTTGCATCCATGACATCCCAAAAACTTAAAATAACATATCTCGACTCCTAGAATGAAATCGACGTGAATCCTTAGGGCAGTTAGTGTGTTTTAGTATCATACTTAACACCACAAAGTTTTACGGGGCACTCTACAATACTCTTCCCAAGACGCAAGAAAATGTTCATTTTGGGGGGTCCTCTAACGCGAACTTAATGATAAAATCCATCGCTTAGTCCATAAAATACGAACTTAGGCACTATTCGCACTTAGTAAAATAACTTCTCGCACTTAGAACGGGTAATTTATGTAAATTACTTTATGGGTGACTGCTGAGTTCTAACAAAACTGAAAGATACTGACTAGCTGCTGGCGCGGCGGTTACTTTTCCAGCTATAAATAGATGTTAAACGAGTAGTCTGTAACTGTCAGCAGTAATCAATTCCCGTCAATCTGCTGTAGATTAACGGGAATTTTTGTTAAGACGACGTAAACAAAAGCGAGTATCTTTCTTGTGACGGTTTCCTAGTATATGTGAGGTGACAAGTCGGTTACTGAGTGTAATTTTGGAAATGGCGTGTGGGTTTCTAAGATTATAGTTGGTTTTTGAGGCGTTACTTTGCTGTTTAGGGTGATTTCTCGGTCTTATTTTAGGATAAGATTGAGTGAACTCTGGCGATTTATGGTTTTTTAAGATGTGTCTCTTGTAGGGATAGTTCTGCTGTTTCTAAGACGTGTCTTTAAGACATTCCTTTAAAAATCGTGCGTTATTATTGCTTTGGGGAAACTTAGAGCGGTTATTTCGTGCGTGCAGAAATTGAGGTTGTACTCGTATGCTCTGCATAAGAATATAGCTTTATTTGACGCATTTTATGCGTTGCTCTGGGTATTTTGCGCTGAAGCGATGTGGAATTGCTGACGAGTGTGTGCTTTCGGGATAGTGACCTGACTGTGTGTGCTTGGATGCGAGGAAGCGTTTGCTGACGTTGCGAGGTGCTACATCAACAACATCTGTCGGTGCCGGTGCGAAGGTGTGCTTCCCGTTGGTTTGTATAGTGTTTTCGTGCCAGTTTTTCCGGAATGTGTGTCATTATGCCATATCTTCTGTGGTGCGTTTTGCGCCTGGATTTTTCCGTGGAAAGTTTTCAATTTCGGTAGAACGCTTTTTGATCTCGGTGCTCAGTTTATGCGCGCGTGCGGAGGGAACTACACACTCAAAGTATGTCTGCG